GACGCGGCGGCGACCCCAGCGCGGACATTCAAGATAGAATCAGTAGGTATCGAGCGATCCTGCGCGATAGGAAAGCCGCTCCATCGTTCATGTTGGAGCGATGCACGCGGTGTCGGGGCTCAAGGCTCAACGCGCAGGTCGTCACGAAGCAAAGCTGCCGCTACAGTCAAGACGCTGAAGTAAGGACCGCTGTGGGTTCGGAAAGGGCCCGCTTCTCCTTGGGCCATTCCGTGGCCGTTCCTTCAGCCCTCCTCGTGCACCCAGGCGCTGTGCGCGCCAAACACGGGCTCCGCTCCTCATTCCGCGTTCCTTGTTTCCGGAGCCCTTCTGTAGTCCTCGGCTCGTCCCTCGGGACCGCCTGTCCTTAGGGGGACGAAGAACGACATGATCATAAAACCTCAGAGCTTTTATGCCGTTCCCCTGCTGGTGCCCTCCAGGCCTCCCTGGAGGAGGAGGAGGAGGAGGAGGAGAAGGAGGAGGAGAGGAGGAGTGCAGGAGGAGGAGGAGGAGGAGAAGGAGGTGGAGGAGGAGGAGGAGGAGGAGGAGGAGGAGGAGGAGGAGGAGGAGGAGGAGGAGGAGACCTGTCATTGTTCGTTCCCCTGCTGGTGCCCTCCAGCCCTCCCCCCCCCGAGCGGTGCAGGGCCAGCGGGACGACGTGCCCGAGCTCTACGTGGACACGGCCCCGAAGCCCGCGCCGCCCACCCGGCAGGAGCTCGAGCAGCGGCTGGGAGGCGCCGCCCAAGTAGCGGCGGGAGGGCGATCGGGGGCCAGGAACGTGTCATTATAGCCTCCTCCTCCTCCTCCTGCTTCTCCTGCTGCTTCTCCTCCTGCTCCTCCTGTTCCTCCTGCTGCTCCTCCTCCTCCTTCTCCTCCTCCTCCTCCTCCTCCTCCTCCTCCTCCTCCTCATCCTCCGCTGGTACGGCTGCGACTCTGGGTAGGGAAACGGCTTGCCAATGGTCCAGAGGATGCCCAGGAGACCGCCGACGCCCTCGGAGTTGCCCTGCCGCCGGTCCATCACATACCCGATCGTGTACTGGGTAACCTCCCCGGCCTCGTTGAAGCGAAGATTGCAAGCCTGCGGAGGATTCTCGAAGCGCTTCAGAGTATGCTCGGTAATCAGAGGGGGTGCGATGCCCGTGTTCGTCCCACTGCCGCGGGTGGTAAGCCAGACACGGTTGGGCTCGAAGGGATCTACACGGATGTCGTGCCTTTCGTTGTTGGTATTTGGAAAAAGCTCGCCGCAGAGTCCTGGCCTGTTGGTCCAGATCCTGGGGGGGGCCCCAGGGCATCAGCGGTGGCAAGCAGGGATCCTTGCCCACCAGCAGGCGTCCTCCGCTGTGCGGGCCTCTTCCGTAGGCGCTGCACGCGGGCCCAGGATGAGCCTGGCCAGCGGCGGTGGCTAGGGGTAGATCTCCCCGCCCTACAGAGGTCCGAGCCCGAACGTTCGCCCAGCCGTGGTGGAGATGCACGCGCTGTGGAAGCGGCCAGAGCTTGCGATCGGCGACGGGGTATTCTGGCTTGCAGCGGGACCGTTGCGATGCCGCAGTCGCGCGCGGAAGACGCCGTCCCTGGGTCGAGACGCGGTTCGGGTGAGCTCGCTTTGGCTGCCCGGGCGCTGCGAAGCCGAACGCACACGGGATGTCTTCCGAGCCTCATTGTCCCCACAAGTGTCGTGTCGGGCCTAGGCGCCCGCCGACGGAGGCGGGGCCCGTCGGGCCTTCGGGGCAAAAGCACCCGCGCTGGGACGGCCCCAAGGAGGAGGAGGAGGAGGAGGAGGAGGAGGAGGAGGAGGAGGAGGAGGAGGAGGAGGAGGAGGAGGAGGAGGATGAGAGCGGGGTCCCCTTCCCAGGGGTCTCTTAGCCACGCAGCCCCCCCTGCAGGGGGCCCCGCGCCCCCGCCAAGGCTTCCCCCGTGGGAGTCGTGGCCGAGGGGCTCGTCTTCTCCACCCCCTTCTGGAATCGCTGTCGTTTTTTTGCGGTTTTGGTTTGTTTTTACGTTTTTTTTTTTTTTTTTTTTTTTTTTCTTAGGTTTTTGTTGATTAGTTTTATGTTTTACACCTGAGTTTTAAGATGTTATATACATATAGGCTAATAATGCATACATTTATGCGTTGTTTAAAATAATTTTGAATGTCTTACAAAGCAATTTTGCTGTGGTTCGTGGTCGTGTCGCGGTGGGCCCGTGGGGTGGGTGGCGTGGGTTTGGCAATGGTCTGGCCCCTGCCCGTCCTGTGAGGTTTGCCCGTGTTTGGGCTGCGGCTGTTTCCGGCCTGACAGAATGGGGCAGGGGAGCTGGCTTGCCATCCCCATGCTGCCCACTCAGAGAGGCCCGTCTCGCGCTGTGAATCTCTCCGCGGTTCGGTGGGGCGTCCTGCACGCTGGGCTAACTGTTGCCCGCCCTGTCCCGCCTCGCTGAGTCCCGCCCCACCGGGCCATGGTCGGCGGCGAGCGGGGGGGGGAAATGACGAGGAGAAGGCCTTTTCAGAAGGCGGCGAGACTTCTCAGAAGTCCTCGCGCCTTCTGGTAAGTGTTTGCCGTCTTCGGGGAAGGCTTACAGTGAGGGCCCATGCCAAGAAACACCCTGGTTGTCTCCATGGTGCCTTGGGTTTCTTGTGTTTCGACCGTTCTGCTACGGAAAACGCGACGTTCCCACGCCAAAAATCAGGGGACGTCCTGGGGTCTCAGGGTTCGGTTTCTTGTGCAAGGTTCTTTGTGGACCTGCCCACCACTGTGGAAGACCTTTCAGAAGGCCGGGGGGCTTGCAAACCTTTTGAGAAGGCCTTATCCTTCTCATTTCCCCCCTCGCTCGCCGCCGATCGGCGCAGGCTGTTTTCGTGTTCTCGGCCCACGTCCTCGCTCAGAGGAGGAAGGGTACGGATGCCGCTGCCCGTCGGTCCTTGAAAGTAGGCAACCATAACCGCATCGCGTCGCCCCGCCAGCCTATCCAGAAACGATGCCCAGACGAGTTTCCTGAATCAGGGAAGTGGGCAGCGCGTAGAGGAAGGGCCCCCCAATGGAGGCCTCTTGGAGCGTCTTGAGGACCCCTTGGCGGTCCCGGAGGCCTCTTGGAGCGTCTTGGGTGCTTCGGGGAGTTCCTTGGGGCCTCTTGGCGGTCCCTTGGGAGCCTCTCGGAGTCCGCTTGGACGTCTCTTGGGGCCTCCTGGGCTGGGCGCCTCGTGGGGCCCTCTTGACGCGCTCTTGGGGACCCTGGGAGCGCTCTTGGGGCCACTTTGGAGGACATCGATCAAACGAGAAGGGAGCTTTGATTGGCGCTGTTCCCCCAAGGGGCCAACATGGGGCCCAAACCATAATAAATCAGTGATTTTGGCTTCCTCGCCGAGGCCGTTTTGGACGCCTTGACACCTCACGACCGGCCTGGTTCAGTTCCAAGGGAGGGCGTAGGGGGAGGGGCCAAGCGATTCACCAGCCCGCAAGCCGTCGAGCTCACTACCACCCGCCCTCCCGCACATCCAGTAACCCGAGCCTGAGCATGTTCGGCGGTCGTCTTTGGATGGGCAATACTAGGAACCATAGCCAGTCCCAGGTGCGCGACGCTTGGGCGAGGTGCGCCGCGCGTGCGAGGGGCACCAAGCGCGCCAGGCACCCTTGGGGCCTGAGCGTGCCAGGCACGCCTGGTGCGCCAGATGCGCCACGTCCTCTGAATGCGCCAGGTGTGCCGCACACTCCAGCCGCGCCAGGTGCGCCACGTTCGGGGCACCTGCACAGTGCGTCAGGTGCGCCTGCGCGCGTGACAGCGCACATCGGGAAACGTGTCGGCCCCCGGCATCATTGTCGAAAGCCAATGCCAATCAGTGTGTCTGGTTGGCTTGCGCACAGCAGGCCACCCCCGCCGTCCTTGTCAAAAACCATGTGGCAGTGATCGCTGGATGGCCGCGCATGATCCAAATTCTAGACACTTCGCGTATCCCCACCAGCCCGTCCAGAAATGAGCCCCAGGGGAATGGAGGTGATGAGGGAAGCGGGGGAGCATGCAGAAGAACAAAGGGCGGGGTAAGCCGCCATATGCCCCAAGAGGGGGAGGATGTCGTCGTCGGAGTAGGAGGAGGAAGAAGAGGAGCAGGAGGAGGAGCAGGAGGAGGAGGGGGAGGAGGAGGAGGAGGAGGAGGAAGATGAGGAGGAGGATATGGAGGAGGGCGAGGACGTGGAGGACGAAAAGGAGGATAAGGAAAAGGAGGAGGAGGAGGAGGAGGAGGAGGAGGAGGAGGAGGGGGAGAAGGAGGAGGAAGAGGAGGAGGAGGAGGAGGAGGAGGAGGAGGAGGAGGAGGAGGGGGAGATGGAGGGGGAGGAGGGAGGAGGACGAAAAAGAGGAGGAGCAGGAGGAGGACAACGGCGAGCTTGGGGGCCTCTTGGGCAGTCTTTCAGGGCCTCTTGGCGGTCCCGGGGGCCTCTTGCGTATCTCGGGGAGCCTCTTGGGGCCTCTTGGGGGTCTGTTGGGAGCCTCTTGGAGGCCCCTTGGGCGCCTCTTGAGGCGTCTTGGGGCCCTCTAGGGCCGCTCTTGGGGCGCTCTTGGGAGCCTTCGGGGCGCTCTTTGGGCCATGTTGGATGAGATCTATCAAAGAAGGGGGGGTCGTATATTAGCCCTGCCCCTCTAGAGTGCCTCGAATCGCTTCTTGGGCCCCTCGTGCGGCGATCTTGGAGCGCTCTTGGGCGCTCTTGGGGCCGTCTGGGGGCTCGCTTGGGCCTCTCTTGGGGCCCTCTTGGGCATTCTTGTAGCCATCTTGAGGCCTGTGAAGGCCATCGGAAGCGAAAAAGCGAGAAAGCCACAAACATGTAGGTTTTGGCATGAATTTGGCCTCTCGGGGAGCTCCGTGGGGAGCTCTTTGGCCACTTGGGGCCGTCTTGGTGCGGTCTTTAGGCCTGTTGGATCATCTTGGGATCCATCTTGAGGCATCTTGCGCTATCTTGAGCCATCTTGGAGGCTATCTTGGGCTCTCTGAGGCCCTCTTGGAGCCGTCTTGGGCCATCTTGGACGCCCCAACGACCTGCGGAACCCTCCGTCCAGGTCCAGGGGGGGGGGTAGGGGGAGGGGTAAACCCCTCCCCGAAGGGGAAGAAGGGCGTTGGAAGAGGAAACTCTCTAGACCACCGACGCCCAGAGGGCTGGTGGGATTTAGCCGCGAGGTGCATGTTGTATAGGTTTTTGTCAGGGATGGTAGCCCTGCGCAGAGCAGGGGATATGCTGACACCCCCGCCGTCCCTATCAAAAACCAAGACTTTGCCCCAAAGTGTATTTTGCATTGTTTTTTGACGGGGATGGGGGGGGGGCGCATCGGGGTGGCCGCGCATGCTCCAAATGTGGAGGCAGAGTGCGGTTTGTATTGTTTTTCGACATGGGATGGTGGGGGGCGAGCCCGCATGGGGTCGGCATGGTTCTGGGTTGGCCGCCGGCCAGGTGGGGGAGGGGGTGTATGTAAATAAAGAGGAGTGATGAGCCCCTCCCCGAAGGGGAAGAGGGGCATATGGAAGACAAGACATCCTAGACCACCTACGCCCTCAAGGGCTGGCGGGATTCTGGATTCCCATATACCGATCTACTCTAGGCGCCTTACTACTTCCAATCATGAGTGCGTTTTCCTTTCCCTTCCAGTTCAGGGGCGGGCGGAAACACAATCTACTTCCAACGCCTTCTTTCTGGTTTTTTCTACCCACTTTTTCCGACCGACGGCTGCCCTTCCCTCATTTTTCTCCTTTGGGGCCTCCTGGGAGGCCCTCGTCGCCACGGGTGGATTCGCCTGCAAATTCTGGTCAGAACGCACCCCTGGATAGCTCCAGGGGGTGGTAGCGGTAAGGGTACGTTTCGATCCCCCCACCCGCGGCCGTTCTTCACCCCTCTTCCTGGCTTCTCCAGGGGATGCCGTTCAGCGTTTTTTCAAACCATCCTCCCTCATGTCCATAGGCTCCCTAGCCCGCCAGTGGTCGAGGGACCCGTGCGCCAGCAGCTCGCTCTTGCCCGCTCGACGCTGCAGCGTCGGAGCGGTGCGGGCTGCCGTTCAGCGTTGTCGAAGCGTCCTTCCTCGTGCTCAATAGGCCCCCGCCCGTGGTGGAGGGACCCGTGCGCCAGCAGCTCGCTTTTGCCCGCTCGACGTTTGCAGCGTTGGAGCGATGCGCCCCAGCGCCTGCGCAGCGGACAGAGATCTGGGCACGGGCTGCCCCGCCCACGACGGATCGGCCTGCACTGTACAGTGGCCTTCGAGATGCTACTGGGATCCCCTTCGTCGAGGAGTAAACGGTGCTTCGAGGAGGACGTGCGCCCCCTGCCCACTGGAGACGTCTTCTCCGGTGAAGGTCTGGCGATAACCTGGGTTACAGTCGGGGCCCTGAAGAAGGAGCCCTTTTGGTTGGGGAGGGGCTCCGCGTTCCTTAGAGTGTTTCACAGCTTGCCTCAGGTTTTCCTTGTGTTTTCGATCGGAAATCGAAATTTAATCGGCAACACCCCAGCATACTTATACTATATGTGCGTCGCCCCCCCCAGGGGCGACGCGCGCACCGAGAAATCTTATAGTATATGCGTCGTGGCGGGCGCTTTCTGGCCACACCGCTCGAGAAACGATATACTACAAGATGGGTATACTATATGTTCGGGTCGGACGCGCGCCTCCAAGGAGGACATATAGTATTAGTATGTCCATGTGCGTCCCATTCAACTTATGGAAAACAGGGGCCTCGTTCCTCACTTAGGGTTCCTCAGGTCAACGCCCCGACCGTATCGGGCCCGCCCGCCCTCCCCCTCCCCTCGGGATGACCCTGACCCCGTATCGGTGGCGCAGGTCGTGGGGCCGCCCACGCCGAACCTACAGCGTTGGGTCATCGGCCGGGCCGGCGCCTCCCTCCCCCCCCTCCTAAGGGGGCGCGGCGACACGGCGGGCGGCGGTGGTAAAACAGGGCTGGGATCGGGATAAATCGCTCCAGAGCGTTCCGGAGCGCTCTCAGAGCGTTCCGGAACGCTCTGGAGCGGCCGCGGCGCCCAATACGTCCTCCAAACCCGCCGATGCTCAGAGATTTCGAGTTATCCCGATCCGATTTTGTCCCGATCTTCGCGTCGTTTTCAGTGGGTGAAGAGAGGGGTGAAGAGAGGTGCACCTCTTGTGGCCCAAAAGAGGCCCCCTGGGGCCCAAGAGGGGCACGGAGGGTGTACGTTTCTCCCCCCCCCGCACCCCCCACACCCCCCTTGTGTCGCCCCCCATTTAGCAACGCCCGATTCCAGCGGATAGCCTGGGCTATCGCCGAAAGACATCGCCCGATCCCAGCAGGCAACAGTCAACCCGCATGGTAAGGATGGGCAACCTTCTCAAGGGTACCCTTGCACCCTTGCCCTTGCAGCCCATCCAAGGCCCTTGCATGCTTTTCGTGCGTCCTGCGTCGCCGAATAGCAAGACCGCGGGCCCTCGCCGCGCAGAGGCGCCTTCCGGAGGCTGAACCTCCGGAGGGCCGCGGCGGCGCCGGCGGCGGAGCCCGCAGCGGGTGGCCGCCCTGGGGCGGAGGCCCGTCGTCGCTGCGGCGGTCGCCGCCGCCGCCGCTGTCGGAGGCCGACGTCATCATCGACGCCGCCGTCCGTCGTTGTTCGTTGGCGTTGTCGCTCGTCGCTCGTCGCAGTCGTCGGCCGTCGTCGCCAGGAGGAGGAGGAGGAGGAGGAGAAGGAGAATGAGGATGAGGAGGAGGAGAATGATGATGATGATGATGATGATGATGATGATGATGATGATGATGATGATGATGAGGAGGAGGAGGAGGAGGAGGAGGAGGAGGAGGAGGAGGAGGGGGAGAGGGAGCAGGAGGAGGAGGAGGAGAGTGAGGAGTTGGAAGATGAATGATGATGATGATGATGATGATGATGATGATGATGATGATGATGATGATGATGATGATGATTTGATGTTGATGATGATGATGATGATGATGATGATGATGATGATGATGATGATGATGATGCTAATGCTGATGCTGATGCTGATGCTGATGCTGCTGCTGCTGATGATGCTGCTGATAACGATGAAGAAGAAGAAAAACAATGATAATGATGATATGATGATGATGATGATGATGATGATGATGATGATGATGATGATGATGATGAGATGATGATGATGATGAGATGATGATGATGATGATGATGATGATGATGATGATGATGATGATGATGATGATGATGATGATGGTGATGATGATGATGATGATTGATGATGATGATGACGATGTGATTCTGATGATGATGATGATAGTGGTGATGATGATGACGAAGAAGATGATGATGATTATGATGATGCTGATGCTGATGCTGATGATGCTGCTGATGATGATGATGATGATGATGATGATGATGATGATGATGATGATGATGATGATGATGCTGATGCTGATGCTGATGCTGATGCTGATGCTGCTGATGATGATGAGGAGGAGGAGGAGGATAAAAATGAGGATGATGAGGAGGAGGAGGAGAAGGCGGAGGAGGAGGATGATGAGGACGAGGAGGAGCAGGAGGATAATGAGGAGGAGGAGGAGGAGGACCAGTGGAAACCCAAGAGGAGTCATCAATGATGTTGGAATTGACCCTCCCTCCATGCTCCCTCTTCAAATGCCCCTACAACCGTTCATTTCCATTTTGTGAACTGCTTCGTTGGAAGACAACAGTTTGAAGGTCCTGAAGCGTGCCAAAACATGGTTCTCGGGATTTCAACGCCACGTATCAACTTGACTGCTGCGTCTTGACGATCCAGAGTCGTGCCAGAACGCCGACATAACTACTGCGCCCGCATAGTCCTAAATCCGTCCGGCGCACCATTTCTGGTACGTTGATCATGGAAATCCGTGAAACTCTTGCAAAGTTTGGAAACAGATGTGCGCTGCGCGGCGCTAGAGCGAGAGCCACATTTTAAGGAACCGCCCTCAATCGTGAAACTCTTGCAATTCCCAACCATCCTGTGGTGTTGGGTCCTCGTTTTGAAGAGACAGCGCCCCGCGTTCCTTCCTCCTCCAGCTTCTCCCTCCCCCTCCTCCCTCCTCCCCCTCATTGCCTCTGCTCTCGGCACACCTCTCACACGTTTCGTAGCCCCATAGGGAGCTCCACCGAAGGTCCCAGTGGCACAGCCCGCATGCTGTTCCCCCACCCAGGGCAGCGTTTCGTGGCCCCATAGGGAGTTCGTGGCCCCATAGGGAGCTCCACCGAAGGTCCCAGTGGCACGGCACGCATGCGGTTCCCCCGCCCAGGGCAGCGTTTCGTGGCCCCATAGGGAGCTCCACCGAAGGTCCCAGTGGCACAGCCCGCATGCGGTTCCCCCGCCCAGGGCAGCGTTTCGTAACTCCACCAAAGGTCCCAGTGGCACAGCCCGCATGCGCTTCCCCCACACAGTGCAGCGTTTCGTAGCCCCATAGGGAGCTCAACCGAAGGTCCCAGTGGCACAGCCCGCATGCGGTTCCCTCACCCAGGGCAGCGTTTCGTGGCCCCAAAAGGAGCTCCACCGAAGGCCCCAGTGGCGCAGTTCGCATGCGTCCCCTCCCCACCCAGGGCAGCGCTTCGTGGCCCCATAGGTAGCTCCCCCGAAGGTCCCAGTGCCGCAGTTCGCATGCGTCCTCCCCGCCCAGTACAGCGTTTCGTGGCCCCATAGGGAGCTCTCCCGAAGGTCCCAGTGGCGCAGTTCGCATGCGTCCCCCCCCACCCAGTACAGCGTTTCGTGGCCCCATAGGGAGCTCCACCGAAGGACCCAGTGGCGCAGTTCACATGCGCCCCCCCCCACACAGTACAGCGTTTCGTGGCCCCATACGGGGCTCCCCCCGAATGCGATACCCACAACTGCATATGGTTGGGTCCTTCGCCAGGCTAATTTTTGGAAGCGAATGTGTGCGGCGCTAAGGCGAGAGCCACATTTTGAAAACCACCCGCCCTCAATCCGTGAAGCTCGTAAAATTGTTTACACCGAGATGTGCGCGGCGCTAGAGCAAGAGCCACATTTTGAAAACCACCCGCCCTGAATCCGTGAAGCT